CCCGCTAGCACAGGTCTGACGACGAAGATCCTTGCCATGGTAATCATTTCCGTCTCGACCTCTGCCCTGTTGACCACCGTCACTCCGCTGGTCACCTTCCGGCAGGACACCCTGTGGATCCTGATCGTCGCGTTTGTGATCGCGTTCGTGCTGGCGTTCGGCATCGGCGCCAACGATACGGCCAATTCGTTCGGCACCAGCGTCGGCTCGAAAGTACTCACGCTGCACAGGGCCTATCTCCTGGCCAGCATCTTCGAGACACTTGGCGCCGTCCTGCTCGGTAAGCCGTTTGTTGATCATTGTTGGTTTTTATGCAGCGCCGGGTCACTGTTTCGCCATCCCTCATCATACGGTAGCTCCTCAGCGAACAACACGCCACGTCGCAATGCACGACCCTGTAAAATTTTGACCATATTCGATGCTCAGAAAGAGACAATCGATTGCGCTAGCCAAAAGTGCAGGCAAATCGCTTCCTCACGAAAGCCCCTTCTCGGTCACTGTCCAAATCTCGACAAGTAAGCAATAATTACGCAAGACATAAAAGAGTGATATTCTGATAATCTTTCAGTCGCCCAGTCCTCGTTACCGGTGCGTCATGAACGCGAGTCAACGCAAGTCTACCCTTCTTGATAGTTTTTTGATGAATGGGTGTTCCACATTCAGCTCGAGTTGGTGCCTCAATCCAGCCAACTGGTTCAGCGATGCGGAACACTCTGTGAGGTTTCGGTCAGAGACGGGCAGCAGCGATGAATGGAAAGCAAGCACTGTCTCAATGTACTGAAACGGGATCCTGCATCACCTCCTGTCCCTCACTGCAGCAGTACAGCTATTATAATGCACATACTCAATGTAATAATAAGCACCAGTAGGAGATCATAAGCATTTGCGGTCGATACCAAATCATGATATGATTCACAAATCTTGAGAGTCATCTGATTTACCAACAAAGATCAAAAATGTCTTTCGTGCATCTGCAAGTTTATCAAAGACCATCTCCTTGCCTGATGTTAAAGGCCGTTTCAAAGCATTTATGAAATTCAGTGAACACCCTTGCTCGAAAGTATTTCTCTGTACAGGAATAAAAATATTGACAAGAATATCGTTTTTGTTGCTTAACGTCAATTCTGACATGGAAAATGACTCAAACAGATCATGCTACTGTGAATGATACAAATTTACACGGCTCTTACTTCTAGAGGCGTCGTGGAAGACACTAAACAGGCTCAGACCCCGCATTACTTGAGGATCTGCGATGCGTCGATGGATAACTGCACTTTAGTGTGGTCCGCGCACACTTTTCATGGTTATGAAAATGCTTCCTAACCAGGATAACGTATAACACTCTTCTAATACCGGATTTCCCCGCACACTGTACCTTCCTCTTGCGTTAAGTTGCCACGGGGTCCATACGAGCAGACCACGACTTCATGGTAACTGGGTACCTACACTGCCTGATTCATCTCACAAGCAGACCACAATCAATGCTATTTGAGCACCTAAAATGGCAGATATCTCTCATTCTTAATGAGCGTGAGGGAACTCTTGCACGCAAAATAATACGAGATGCATCATATGCACCACAGGTACTCAAATACCGTGAAGGCCATTTGTTAAATGATTCGTTAGGAACAGGGAGGCGGTGAAATACGCCGTGAATTTTGGCCTTCAGGAATTATATCTCGGCATATATCTGCTATTGGAACATAGCTTGATGAGCTTGAATGAATCGAATTTGTCTTAATTCTTAAACGCTGTAAATGGAATGTCAACCTTGACACGGAAAGACAGATTCCATATCACAGGCCCTGAAAGCATCAAACCTACGGCTATTACTTCTACCACTGAAATCTAGCTGAAAAAATAGATCAGAAAACAAAATCTGCACCCTCACCCTGAGTGTAAAGAATAATTCCTCTAATTTGATCAGAGTTTAAGATCAACCACAGTCTAAAGTTCCTTTCGAAACATGTCGTTATTAGCATCAAGCCAGACAGCCTCGTAAGTACACCAAATGAATCTGCGATTCCTCTAGCGGGAGCAGCACCCCCTTCTTCGCAAACTACCGTAGGAAAACCTAGATAGAGTAGAACCAGTTGGGAACAGCAGAGGACTTGCGTTCATGAAGTGTTTGCTGCCTGACTGGAAAGTGAAATGAGTTGCTGGAAGAACTACGGCCCTCCTAACGATGGCTGCAATAGTTCAGTTCATTGCATCATGCACCATGATTCCAAGGACTCCAGGAAATTCATCCTTAGAAATGGTTAGAAGCATTTTCATAAAATGCTGCCCTAACCATGTCAGCGCATGCAGAAATGGCAATTTTTGTTGGCTGTGACATTGAGGAACAGTGTTTAAATGAATCTTATTTGGAACGGGAAGATTTCCTGACTGAAACTCTAAGAAGACAACGCCGCTTCTTCTGAGACGGGTTTATGGCAGTAATGTAGACGAACCTTTCCCTCGTTGAGTAAATAAAATCTTGAGAATGGCAGGTGATATGAGATTCTTTCTTCTGGTAGGCATTTTATTTCTAATGCAATAACCAGCAATTCAAAACAATTAAAAGGTTGATAGCTGCTAAAATGTTGTTAAATTACTTGGTCCTCTGTTATGCAGACGTCTGTCCAATCTTCCAGCACCATGATGTACATAAATACACAAGGATACCGTACGGCAGTGATCGATAATCAACTTGATAAATGCGTCATAACAATTCCAACTCTGTGCCCGTTAATGATACTACAGATGCGTTACCCACTGACTGTCGATGGTACCAATCCGTACAGATTTTCGACACTGAGTGTCAACGCGTTTCGCTACATGCACCGTGGTATCGTCAGAGTACAACTGATTATCAGGCTGCTAAGCGCCTAACATAAGTGAGTGGCTGATTGACACCAAACATTTGACAGCCATCAGAGAGAAGTTTATTCATTACACATATGATGTTTTATTGTCAAAATATGCAGGGAATTTATTACCAGTAGAACAAGAATTTACCAGTCATTGTCTGCTACAGAAGCATTTGTCGGACTGAATGAATGCCTCTCCAAAAGAGCTTATCATGAAGTACCTGAGTGATCAGGTTGCCTGAGTCAGACTGTAGATAATTGTTCCTTAAATCGAATATTCAGTTTTCCATAGGTCTTTCAACATGCATCTTATAGATCTACTTCACTGCTGTGAACCATATTCAACACCTCCTCTAGGCTGCTGCCACTGTACTTCTTGAATAGAAGCATCCTTAAGATCGTGCCGACCTTTTAGTAGATCCTGAACCCAATGTTGCCTCACTGATTGAGAACCTGGGGTGCGCACGGTGAAATTATCATAGATCAGCTCTCACCCGTCTTCATCAAGCTGTGACTGAGGCCCAACGGTTCATTGTCTAACACTTTTCCTCGAAACCTGTTCTTCAAAAATAAGACATGAAGAAGTCCAATTTTAGCACCTAGAACGTAAGCGGTAGTTGCATGTTTTAAGCTCACCTAAGCGTATGTTCCTCACTATGTTTCTGAGGATGAGGCACAAGACCTCGAATGTAGGTATCTCTCCAAGCGTGTCGGTTTTCGACAA